TGTTGACCAGGATGGTCTCGATCTCTTGACCTCGTGATCCACCCGCCTCGGCCTCCCAAAGTGCTGGGATTACAGGCTTGAGCCACCGCGCCCGGCCCTAGTCTAATAGTCTTTATCTGGAAACTTTTTTTTCCACTTCAATCTCTCATTCAAAAATGGCAGGTTTTCAGGCGCGGTGGCTTACACCTGCCTGTAATCCCAGCACTTTGGGAGGCCGAGGTGGGTGAATTATTTGAGGTGAGGAGTTGAAGACCAGCCTGGCCAACATTGGTGAAATACCTTCTGTACTAAAAATACAAAAAAATTAGCTGGATATGGTGGCATATGCTTGTAATCCCAGCTACTAGGGAGGCTGAGGCTGGAGAATCACTTGAACCTGGGAGGCGGAGGTTGCAGTGAGCTGAGACTGAGCCACTGCACTCCAGCCTGGGGGACAGAGCAAGACTCTGTCTCAAAAACAAAAAAAAAAAAAAGAGAGAGAGAGAAAAAAAAGGAAGTTTTAAGTAATAATGTGAAATATCTCTTAGTCAATTCAAGAAGCTGCTATTAAGCATAAAACTGTAAATATCAAGATATGAGCAAAAAACAGTAATTTCTTTTTTAGTTTTGGTTGTCATCAATATTAGTTTTAACTGAATAAAAATAGCAAAAATAAAAAGAAATATTAGTTGTGACTATTTCACATCAAGGAGAAAAGGGACCAAATAAATACCAACTATAATAGAGTGAATATGAGTGTATATGTGCTTTGGATTGTCAAACTAAGGAAAGAAGAAAAAAGGAGGGCAGGAAACAAAGGGTAGAAATCAAATACTAATTTTTTAACATTTAATCATGGTCTTCATAATTCTCATAAAGTTCTAAAATGAAGAAAGAGTCAGACACAATAATAAACAGTAAGCTGATAAAACTTATCTCCCATAAAAAATTTAGTTAGCTCTGTATTATTTCGACATGAAACCACAGCAAGTTAACACATGATGTTACAGGAATTATGGAATAGTTTATAACATACGTAGTGGGGAAACCCTT